AGAGACGGGGTTTCACCATGTTGACCAGGATGGTCTCGATCTCTTGACCTCGTGATCCACCCGCCTCGGCCTCCCACAGTGCTGGGATTACAGGCTTGAGCCACCGCGCCCGGCCCATAATTTTTATAACTTTCAGCCCTTTGCTTCCTGAAGATCAATTTCAAATCTGGTGTTACTCTTGAAATTGATCATTTAAAGAATCATTTAACTTCGATCCTTACAGTTCATGTTCTGTAATTAGTAACTTCCTGCAAATAGTTTCTGCCTTTTGGAATATCACAAAAACTGGCAGCTGTGAGGATGAGTAAAAAATCTTACTGACATATAGGCTACCAAATAATCCTTCCTTTAATATTAAATTAGAACCTTCTAGGAGCTTCAGGGTATGGGAGCTGGAAGGAGATAATTTCCATACAAATGGAAAGGTTATTTAGAGGTCTGTGTCTTGTGGAATTGCGGAGAACTTAAATTAATTACAAAGTAAAACTAAAAGATGATTTAAAAATAAAACCTGTGTTGGTAACATTATTGACTCAGGCTTAGGAACTAAGCAAGGATTATGACTTTATTGAGGTGGCCATCTGCAGCCTCCGCCTCCCCACGCTTGCCCTTTTGTGGTTGTGGATGTCGGGCAGCACCTTGCTGGCGCGCATGCTGTGTTCTATTAACCATCTCCAGCTTGCCCTTTGGCTCCCTCTTCAATCTTTCTGGCCATTGTATGCGGCCCCCTTGACTTCTGTGCTCAAACAACTCTGCCTGGCCTCTGTTACCTGAATATGGGAGAGCTGGCTAGCAAATCATTCCATGGATTTAACAAACCCAGGTCTGCAGTTACCTAAGCTAGTCAGCCCCAGCCTGCAGAAGACACCATGACAGAACCTAGTGACACCAGTGCCTTTCTCACCAGCCCGATGCCCTTGGTGAGCAGTGCGTCTGAGCCCTCCCATGGAACAGAATCCTCTGGTGAGTCTTCTGACTTGTTGGACACCGTTCTGCCTGCCCACTGCTGTCAGCGTGGTTCGGCCACTTCACTCTGTGCCCGGTGGCACTCGTTCCAGGTCTCACCCTAGCAGCAAGTTTGCCCCATCTCCTGGGGGCCTTGCCAGAGTGTTAAGTCTGTTTCCTGCGAAAGTGCCTGAAGTTGATGAATTCTTACTCATCCAGTTTTTTATTCCGGGAGTCTTGGTCAGGCACTGTCATCCAGTCTCAGGGGTACTCCCCTAGCTCCTCGTTCAGGAGCCAATTCCTACCTAATTCCTTTTGCTATTAAATTTATCACTAGAATTTGATTAGAGTAAATTGTGTTGGTACAAATACAGAAAAATATTTACAGAGCTTATTCCAGTTGCTACCTAATTCCTTTTTGCTATTTTAGTGTATAGTCTTTTTCTTTCCTTATTACACCCAGCGCTTCCTCAGCCAGGTTATGCTGGGATTTAACACTCCATTATCGGCTGGAGCAGCCCATGGGAAGTGTGGCCGTGGCTCAAATACGATGGCTGGGATCATCACTCAATTCCATTTCCTGCAATTCAAAGCCTATAGATTTAAGAGGTGCATTTCATTGGGAGGCTGAGGTGAGAGGATTGCTTGAGCCCAGGAGTGAGACACAATCATGGCTCACTGCTCTCCAGTCTGGGTGACAGAGCTGGATCTCAACTCTTTTTTTTTTTTTTTTTTTTTTTGGAGTCTGGGTCTTGCTCTGTCACCCAAGCTAGAGTGCAGTA